CTAGTAATTTTTGGTAGATAACAATCAGGCATTATACTGAAAGATTAGGTATTTATAGTGACGCTATCATGACAGGCTCCATTTAACCTACAACAGCTCCTAAATCAACAAATAAATTGTTTATTATAAAGATAAATTAATTATTATACTGCTTTGGGAGGTGTTAAAGTGACACTCTGTGCACTATAATAACTTCATCTCATCTTTTCAGATTTTTTCCTTTATTAACACTGTGTGTCTTAGACCTAAGAAGGCTTCACAAAAGTATATTTCTGAAATGAGGCACTCAGAGGAAGGGGCATTATAACACTGTTATCATAAAGCTCTTCCAGCATCTTCGGTATAGTTTTTCTTTTCCCTCCACTTACACCGACCATTGTACTCATGCTGTGAATTTTATGATCCTGAATACTGAACATTTTAAATATATTTCCATTTCTGGATACCCCAGGCCCAACCAAGAAAATGCCTTCCGCATATACTTTAACATATTAGTATGTCATTTGTGTCAATTTGTGCATGTTTGCATAAGTAGTCATGCAATCATAGAAACATAAGTAGTTGTGCCACTCCTTTGTGAATGCCACACACATATTCACAGATACACATACCTAGCCACACTTCCACATACACACTAGCCACACACACATGTGCACATATATTCTTAGCCACGCATACAAACACATCAGTACATACATCCTTAGCCACACACACAAACACACCCGCACATTCATCCTTAGCCACACACACAAACATACCCGCACATTCATCCTTAGCCACACACACAAACACACCCGGACATACATCCTTAGCCACACACACAAACACACCTGCACACACATCTTTAGCCACACACACAAACACACCTGCACACAGGGCCGCCATCAGAAATTTTGGGGCACTTGACAAAGCACGAGGTCTGGGCCCTCCTCCTCCCCCCCCCCCGGGCCCGCCCATGCCCTACCTAGTCCGCTGACAATGATGCAGGACTGAATGTGGTGTGTATAGTGGAAGTGAATTAGAATGTGTGTAATGGATGTAGTGTTTGTGTGTATTAGATACTGTTTGTGCAGTGAATGCAGAGTGTGTGTTTGTGTAGCGGATGCATTGTGTATAGTGAACGCAGAGTGTATTTGAGTAGTGGATGTAGTGTGTGTACAGTGATGTAGTGTGTGTTTGTGTAGTGGATGTAGTGTTTGTATGTACTAGATGAAATGTGTTTAGTGGATGCAGTGTCTGTAGTGGATGTAGTGTGTGTATTAGATGCAGTGTCTGTGTATAGTGAATGCAGAGTGTTTCAATTTGTGGTGGATGTAGTGTGTGTACTGTGAATACAGGATGTTTGTGTAGTGAATGCTGTGTGTACAGTTAATGCAGAGTGTGTTATTGTAGTGAATGCAGAGTGTGTGTTAGTGTAGCGAATGCAGAGAGTGTGTTAGTGTGTACTGAATGCAGAGTGTGTGTTAGTGTAGTGAATGCAGAGTGTGTGTTGTACTAGTGTATGCAGAGTGTGTGTCAGGGTAGTGTATGCAGAGTGTGTGTTGTATTAGTGTATGCAGTGTGTGTGTTGTATTATTGTATACAGTGTGTGTGTTGTATTAGTGTATGCAGTGTGTGTGTTGTATTAGTGTATGCAGTGTGTGTGTGTGTGTGTGTTGTGTTAGTGTATGCAGTGTGTGTGTTGTATTAGTGTATGCAGTGTGTGTTGTGTTAGTGTATGCAGTGTGTGTGTGCTGTATTAGTGTATGAAATGTGTGTGTTGTATGAGTGTATGCAGTGTGTGTAAATGTGAAATCTGGGGGTGGGGAGGGAGGAAGGGGCATTTTCACATTCATTTTATATTAAATTAATTAAATGTTATTCCCCCTCCCTGCTTCTTACCTGTGTCCAGGGAGGGGGGAAGATTCCATCCCTGGTGGTCTGGTGGCATGCCCCTCCTCCCCTAATATTCGCTATCTATGTGTGCAGAGAAAGGAAAGTGGTGCCCGGGACTGCCGTTATGGTTGTCACCCCCTGATGTTGGCCTTGCCTGCACATACATCCTTAGCCCCACACACAAACACACCCACAAGTACATCCATTGCCACACACAAAAAAACACACCTGCACATACATCCTAAGTCACACACACAAACTCACCTGCACGTACATCGTTAGACACACACAAACCTAGCAAATATAATTAGTCACACGCTAAAAATGTCCCCAAACACACATTTTTTGTTTTAATTCCCCTTTGCTCTGCTGGAAGAAAGGAATCACAGGTCTCAACCTTAGGGTCTGGGGAGGAGCTAGAGCGCTATGCACTGTAATGCACAGACTTGTTCGCGATCCCTCTGTCATAATTCATTGTTGACTGAATGGGCTATGGGGGATCAAGGCCCACATGGAGGGAACGTTCATTACATATTTCACCTCTATGTTCATGTAAGGGACATCAAGTTCAAGCTTTCTGAAACCTAGCAATTATACCCGTGGTTGACACTGTTATTAATATTATTGGTATTTATTTAGCGTCAGCATATTTAGCAGCGCATTACAATATTATGAAGGACCATGCTTGAAAGAGCTTACAATCTAGAGGTGATGCCTTGAAAACTAGCCACCTAATGAAGGTCCTGCCTGTGTATAAATCCCTGCCTTTCACATATGGCTTACCAGGTATTTTTAAAGTCACAGGGACAATCCTAAAAGCAGGCAGTTTCTGTTTGTCAAGAATCAAGATGGAATTTCTTTCCTTTTTAGATATTTTTGGCCTAAGGTTTGCAATTTCATTTTAGTAAGCCCCATTATAATTAACCGGTCACTGATAGATATAGTACAATTAGTGATGTATCTTCGCGGATAGTGGGGAATTGTTTTAGCCATCCTGTTTTACTATGCATTGTCAGAAGTGTGCAATGAATTTTAATTTTTGTTGTTTGAGATAATTAATAGCACTTGTAAAATCCGCTCACCCAGCCAAAAATCAAGTCGTATTTGGCCCTCATTCCATGGCAGGTAAAATGACTGAGGCTGGCAATGTGCCACAACCGGGAGTTCAGCAAAGAGTTTTTTCAAAAGAATAGCAGATACGGAACATCAAAAGTCATTTTGCATTCTAAAAAAAAACAACAGGCTCTTTACTTAAATATGGTCCGAATTTCTAATGCATTAGCTGTTTTGTTTCCATGACAACGTTAGATAACAGCAATTAGTGTTTTCATTTTAAAGAAGAATACAATAAAATACAATGTCACAAAGCTTCATATCATGTGTTCTGGAAGTTGATCTTGGACCCCGAATACGCTTCCAACCTACAGCCTTGACAATGTATTGATCCATGAAAACTGTCACTGCGAAGGGTAGAGACTGTGATTTTTACCCAAGACACCACTATCGACAGAAACAGTTGTTTCTGCTATCAACTTCCTCTGAAATAATAATAATAATTATAATTTTACCATTTCAGCTGGAACCAAAAAGCAAACAAAATGGACTTCATTTTTTTATTCAAAATACATTATGCAGAAAGAAAGGACAGTAAAAAGTGATATAAAGAAAGAGTGAATTTCTCACATTTTAATTTTTACGTAAAAATATAACTATAATTTATTTTGTCTACATGTATTTAACCATACGGTGGTTACCATCTTTAATGCCCACTGGGTATGCAAATTAGCTTACATTGTCTAAGCCCTCTCCATCTTCCCAACTCACTAATTGTAATTTATTTGACAGTTGAGTGACCTGAGGATGACCTTCGTCATTAATCACATTTTACTCACATACTGATATTGGAAATTATATAGTGAAGCCCATGAACCTAAACAATCTGTATTTACGCAATGCTTTATAACAGGGATACAGTTCGAAAAACAACCAATTCAAACAATATATAGACTTTTGCCTATGATGCCAAAACATAAACAATTCTAGTCCTCTCTGTGTCATTTGGTGTGTGCAATTACCTTTTTAATGGTCCTGAACAACTATCAATAAATTCAATACTTGTCAATATCATTGTGTGTCTTAGATTATTGATACGACTTGATGACTGGTTTGCATTCATCCGGTCTCACAACTGGTAAGATAGTCACAATAAGGAACCCCTGTTTGTTTTTTTTATGGTGTCCGAAGAAAGTTGAGTAGCTAGGAGGGTTAATTGTCAACATGACCTTTTTGAGCACACTCACCGCAATGTGCCATTAGTAGCATAGATTTCTAACTTTTTTATTTCATAAACCTTTCAAAAAATGTAATAATTATATTTTTAAAAATATTAAAATATTTAAAAATATATTATATATATAATATGTAAATATATAACAGTTTTTTTTTAAATATGATTTTTATTAATGTATTTGCAACGTATTTTCAACAAAAATAGGCAAGGGGTGGGGGTATGGGACTCGCAGGTCCCTGGAACAACAACATAAAGTATTTGCTTTTGGGCTCGCAGGCCCCAGTGAACGATGCGGACTCGCAGGTCCCATGCATTCCAAACAGCTAATAATGAGTACCTTTGTCCCATGTGTTGCGCTCTTTTTCTTTTTTTTTTTTTTTATTTATATTGATAATTTGTTACAGTTTTTTTTGCATAACATGTGAATAGATTGGTGGGAACTCGTAGGTTTTCGACCTGCTTTACATTATTAGGTCTTGTGAGGTGCCTAGATTCTCATGAGCAAGGCATAAAATAAGATACGAAGGTCCCTAGGTATCCTAGTCCGATGGCTCATAACTTGAAAACGTAAACTATCAAAAGAAAACTAGTATCGAGTGGACAGATAGAGGAGCACATAACATTGTGTTCCGATAAAGTAATGTCAGTTTGTCGTGTAACATGTCTGAGTTGCGGGATTACGGCCGTCAGGCGGTCCCTAATTCTGTCTGCAGTCGCTTGCCGGAGTTCAGGTGGTGAGTGTAGTAGCGTGTGGGTACCCTAAGCCGTTAGATGTCGGCGTGTGTGTGTGTCCGTGTGGTTGGGGGAGGACCGTGTCCCTTCGTTTGTGGGGTGTATTGACTTAGCTTCCCTGTGTGGTTATCGGGTAACATGTGAGGGTAACGTTCTGCTTTGACCCTGGTAGTTTCTTTGATGTGGTATGTCATGTGTGGTGAAGCTACTAGAGTCAGGGTAAGTATATCTTCTTGTGTGTGTTCCCCTTGTCCAGGCTGTTGGCACACCGTGACCCGGTCGTTGGGGTCTTTTTAACCTTAGGGTATGGTACGTGCGCCGCGTTGTCACCCATGAACATCTGTTTGTTTTAGTATGTTCTAGAGGTGGCTTGTGTGTATATTCATGTTGATCGATTCCCTTAATCCTCCCCAAGTGGTCGGGTCCTGTATGCCGGTTAGTGGGCTTGGATATATAACAGTTTTGTACTATTTTTCAAAAATAAAAATACATAATTTGAAAACTTTATCCAAAAACATTAAATCATTTTAAAACTTTATTCAAAAGTATAAAATCGAGACCATAATAAGGTATGTGTTTGAGAAGCATTGCCTAACAGAGCAATGTTTATATGAGTATTTGCTAAAGTAGATCATTTCAGGTGAATTTCAAATTCATTTAAAATTCAAGGCCAAATGGAAGCATAGTTAATTTAGAGAATATTGCCAGTCCTGATATTTTGACCTACCTTTTGGCTACTTTGGAATACAATTTTGATTACACAAGTCTTGATGATGGACCACAAAAACTATTAAAGAAAAACACTGGAGGGGTGGGCACTTATAAGATTAAAAAACAGGGACCATGGGGATTAGGAAAGAATTCATTTTGTGGTTTACAATTTATAAAGATTGAAGCAAAAGTGGGAATCAGGAGGAAAGTGATGTATTCAGATTAGTTCGTTCCAAGCCCTCCATCCTCTACAGATGTAGCTCAAAAGGCTTTGGCATCCATTGGAGTCATGAGTTAGTACTCAATGGTCAGAACTCTTCTTCTGTATAGGGCAAAGGATGAAAATCAGGACATGAGCAGAAAATTTGCACATTGTTTTTTTATGAATGGTACATAATCCTGAAGCCACAAGAACTATACAAAGAAGAAAGGTGCCGTTTTTCAGGCTACAGTTAAAACACTTTATTAAACTGTATACGGTTTTGAGCTCACATCCTCATACCCAAAATTAGACACTTTCAGAATTCTTATATGCTTCATGATTATAGCCCTGGACAGATCGAGCTATAAACTCAGCAAGTGGTCCTTTCAGTGGCAGGTCTTTCACCTTGAGTTACTGGATCTTATCAGAAGTGCTGTATCCATATTAATAGCTTTTTAAGGGACCGGATGTGGCCAACACAAGATTGTATCTCTTTGTGGTATTTCCTCAAGTCTACATGCCAGAACCCTGTAATTGTAAACTTTATACCTGGGTATTAACCCCAAATCTATGCATACTAATCCTTCAATGACCGCTGTGCATTATTACTGAATTTATACGCTCATTAACCTTATATCTTTGTATCAATCAAGTTCTTACTTTTGTTAACCACTTTTCCTGCAAGTGTTACTCTAATACATGTGTGTTAATTCCATTCCCATGTATTAACCTCTCTGTGTCGATCTGATCCATCCCTGCGTGTTAACTAGCCTTGTCGGAA